AAAAAAGGGAAAAAAAAAATTTTTTTTTAAAAAAAAATTTAAAAAGGGGGGGGGGGGGAAAAAATTTTTTTAAACCCCCCCAAAAAAATTTTTTTTTAAAAAAAATTTTTTTTGGGGGGGGGGGAAAAAATTTTGGGGGAAAAAAATTAAAAAAAAAAATTTTTCCAAAAAAAAATTTTTTTCCCCCTTTTTTTTTTTGGGGGGGGTTTTTTTTTAAAAAAAAAAAAAAGGGGGAAAAAAAAAAACCCCAAAAGGGGGGTTTTTTTTTAAAATTTTGGGGGAAAAAAAAGGGGGGGGGGAAAAAAAAAAGAAACCCCTTTTTGGGGGGTTTTTTTTGGAAAAAAAAAGGGGGGAAAAAAAAAAATTTTTTTTTTTTTCCCCGGGGGGGGGAAAGGGGGGGGGGAAAAAAAAAAAAAAAAATTTTTTTTTTGGGGGGAAAAAAGGGGGGGGGGGTTTTTTTTTTTTTTTTTGGGGGGGGGGGGGAATTTTTTTTTGGGGGGGGAAAAAAGGGGGGAAACCCAAAAAAAGGGTTAAATTAAAAAAAATTAAATTTTTTTTTTTTGGGGTTTTTTTTTTTTAACCCTTTTTAAAAATTTTTATTTTTCCCCCAAAAAAAAAAATTTTGGGAAAATTTTTTCAAAAAAAAATTTTTTTTTTTTCCCTTTTTTGGGGGCCCCCAAAAAAGGGGGGGGCCCCCCGGGGGGAAAAAAAAAAAAAAAAATTTTTTTTAAAAAACCCCGGGGAAAAAAATTTTTTTTTTTTTTTTTTTTTTCCCGGGTTTTTTTTTTTTTTTGGTTTTTAAAAAAATTTTTTAAAATTTTTTTAAAAAAAATTTTGGGAAAAAGGGAAAAATTTTTTTTTTGTTTTTTTTTTTTTTTTTTTTTTCGAATTTTTTTGAAAAAATTTTAAAAAAAATTTTGGGGTTTTTTTGGGGGAAATTTTTCCCGGGGTTTTTTTTTTTAAAAATTTTTTTTTCCAAAAAATTTTTTTTTTTTAAAAATTTTGGGGAAAAAAAAAAAAAAAAACCCTTTTTAAAAAAATTTTTTTTTTAAAAAAAAAATTTTGGGTTTTAATTTTTTTTTTTTTTTATTTTTAAAAAAAAAAAAAAAAACAAAAAAAAAAAATTTTTTTTTAAAAAATTTTTTCCCCAAAAAAGGCCAAAAAGGCCAAAAAAAAAAATTTTTTTTTAAAAAAAAAAAATTTTTTTTTTTAAATTTTAAAAAATTTAAATTTTTTCCCTTTTTTTTTTTTTAAAAAAAGGTTTTTTTTTGGGAAAAATTGGGGGAAAAAAAAACCCCAAAAATTTTTTTTCCGGTTTTTAAATTTTTTCCAAAAAAAGAATTTTCCCCAAAAAAAAAATTTTTTTTTTTTAACCCCCCCCCCGGGGGGGAAAAATTTTTCCCCTTTTGAAAAAATTTTTTAAAAAAAAAACCAAAAAACCCAAAAAAATTTTTAAAATTTTTTCAGGGTTTTTTTTCCCAAATTTTTTTGGGGGGTTTTTTTTTTTTTTTTTAAAAAAAAAAATTTTTAAATTTAAAAAAAAAAAACCCTTTTTAAAATTTTAATTTTTTTTTTTAAAAAAAAACCCCCCCTGGGTTTTTTTTTTTTTTTTTTTTTTTTTTTTTAAAAAAAATTTGGGGGTTAAAAAATTTTTTTTTTTTAAAAAATTTTTTTTTTTTGGTTTTAAAAAAAAAAAAAAATTTTTTTTTTTTTTTAAAAAGGGAAAAAATTTTTTTTTTTTTTTTAAAATTTTTAAAAAAAAAAAGGGGGAAAAAAAAATTTAAAAAAAAAAAAAAAGGGGGGGGTTTTAAAATTTTTTATTTGGAAAAGGAAAAAATTTTTTAAAAAAAAAAAATAGGGGAAAAAAAAAAAAAAGGGGCCTTTGGGGGGGGAAAAAAAAAATTTAATTTTTGGGGGGGGGTTTTTTGGGGGGTTTTTTTTTAATTTAAAAAAAAAAATTTAAAATTTTAATTTTGGGAAAAAAATTTTTTGGGGGGGGGGGGAAAAAAAAAAAGGTTTGGTTGGAAAAGGGGGCCCCTTTTTTTTTTAAGGGAAAAAAAGGGGGGGGTTTTTTTTTTTAAAATTTTAAAAAAAAATTTTTTTTGGGGGTTTTAAAAAATAAATTTTTTTTTTTAAATTTTTTGGGGAAAAAATTTTTTTTTTTTTTTTTTTTTTTTTTTTTTTGGGGGGGCCCCCCCCCGGTTTTTAAAAAAAAATTTTTTTTAAAAAAAAATTTTTTTAACCCCTTTTTTTTTTTAAAATACTTTAAAAAAAAAAAACCCCCCCAAACCCCCCCCCCCTTTTTTCCCTTCCCCTTTAAAAAATCCATAAATTCTAGCAGCCTTAAATCAAGCAGGAGAAAGCTGGTAGGCCCACATGTGAGAGAATGGGTCACTGTGCACCATATAAAAAAAAAAAATCCTCGAGCACACAGTGCATAATGAGAAAAAAAAAGTCTGACCGTTTTTTTTTTTAATTAAAATGCCAAATTTGTGGTCTATTTTCATATAGTATTTATGGTTGTATTCTCGTTTTCTTGGTCTCATTTGATAGAATGGGAAACATATTATAGAAATAGAGGTGATTTTGATTGGTTTTACTATAAAAAGAGCCTGGAAATGGAGCTCAAAGTAGGGGAAATGTTTGATTTTTGCCGATGTTCAAAAGTAAACAAATGATGTCATTGCCCAATAAATGTCCAACTAGCCATTCTAATATGCAGTCATGAATGGGCTGACATTATTTGTACAATTATTACAGTAGTCTGCATAACAGTAAATCTTCTATTTTTTGTTTGAATAAAAATTCAAAATAGAAAGCAAGAGTAATATCAGAGGGGCCTGGAGACGTGACTGGTGAACAAAGAAAATGTTATTTTAGAACCAGGAATGTCTGCATTGTTCATTCTGGACCTTGTTTTGAAATTGTCATATTTTTTAATTTTCGTGAAATTGGCCAAATTGCAAATTTCTGACCACGTTATTGGGTAGTTGAAATCGGTAAATGGGCAGTTTCTTGTACTCAATCGATAGAAAAAATGGAGTTCTAAAGAAATAGCTATGAGTTTGGTCGACTGGAACAATGGAATTAGCTGAAACGAGGGCTCAAAGTGGGCGAAATTGCCGATTTGTAAATATCGCCAAAGTCGCTAACTTCGTGAGAGCGTAATTCCATCAGTTTTCCATCAAATTTTTTTTTTTTAGTGTCATTACAATCGGTAAAAGATTGTCTCTATTTTCATAAGAATTTCTTTTTTTTTTTTTTTTAAATTTTGTGACACCAGGAGACACTTCAGAATTGGGGGTTGTGACAGTCAAGGGGTTAAAAGACAGAGAAGGGAAGTAACCCCAGAGAAGGCTTTGATACCTAAAGTCCTTATGGAGGGGGATAACCCTTCCAAACACTAACCCCAGCTCCCTCTCTCCTCCCTATCTTCCAGGTGCCATCACCAATCTTCAATAAAGGCGAGTAAAAATGTTGATCTCTATAAAATGTATTTTTTTTCTTTTGTGAATATTTTTGGGTTTCTGGAATGAATTAATTGTATTTCCATTATTTCTTATGGGAAATATTGCTTCACTTTTCAAACTTTTCAAATTTAGAACTAGCTCTTGGAACGAATTAAGTTCGAAATTTTAGGTTCCACTGTATTTATTTTGTTTGGCGTGAAACTCTAAGGTCGTGGCACGCCAAATCTGAGCGTGTTGCACTCCGCCTTCCTTGTTGACAGCCTGCAGGCTACTAAGGGATACACTCACGGTGCTACACACTTTAGCCAGTACAGAAGTTGCCACGTAGAGTATTTGGAATGAGACAATCATAGAAATCGTAATTTTTGGAGGGAAAAAAACCACTAATTGCCAACATGTATTTTTGATGACAGCAAGAACAAAAAAAAATTACATTTAATGAAAAACATACTTAGAAATATGATAGAAACAAGCTGATTACATCAAAATGTTGCCAGAATTTTGCACTGTTTTTCAGTAAGAAAACATTTTTTTTTTCCATAATTTTTCATTTTTAATTTCCTGATCACTGAAAAAAGGCTCGCCCCTACCTTAAGCATTTAACCCTTAAACGGTCCAAACAGATCGACATTCAGATTCGTAGTGCTACAAAAGTAGATCTACTTTTTTTTTACATATTTTCAAATATAACAAAAAAAATGTAGATAAAAGTTTTTTTACACGTTTTCAAATGTAAAACAAAAAAGAAGATCTACATTTTTTTACATATTTTCAGATGTTGTAAAAACATATATATACGTTTGGACCATTTAAGGGTTAAGCCTTGGAGTTACAAAGGAAAATCGAGATATTAGACAAGCTTAAGAGTGGCTCATGTGGTGGATATAGCGAGAGCCCATGGCCTTAATGAAGCGTCAGTTTGTACAATTAAATAGAATGAGGTAAATATATGAGTTTGTGTGATGAATAACTGACTTATTGACTGACTTAATTGACTGACTTAATTGACTGACTTAATTGACTGACTTAATTGACTGACTTAATTGACTGACTTAATTGACTGACTTAATTGACTGACTAATTACTGACTTAATTGACCGACTTAATTGACCGACGTTAATTGACCGACTTAATTGACCGACTAATGACGACTTAATTGACCGACTTAATTGACCGACTTAATTGACCGACTTAATTGACCGACTTAATTGACCGACTTAATTGACCGACTTAATTGACCGACTTAATTGACCGACTTAATTGACCGACTTAATTGACCGACTTAATTGACCGACTTAATTGACCGACTTAATTGACCGACTTAATTGACCAACTTATTTGACTGGCTGACTTAATTGACTGACTTATTTGACTGGCTGACTTATTGACTGACTTAACCTTAAACTGTACCAAACGTAGATCTACGTTTGCCGCTAGTGCTTCGAACGTTAATCTACTTTTTTTTTACATGCTGTCTTATGGAGAAAATCAAGGTTAGAGTGCTACGTGCGCAAACGTAGATCTACGTTTGGACAGTTTAAGGGTTAATTGACTGACTTAATTGACTGACTTAATTGACTGACTTAATTGACTGACTTAATTGACTGACTTAATCGACTGACTTAATCGACTGACTTAATCGACTGACTTAATCGACTGACTTAATCGACTGACTTAATCGACTGACTTAATCGACTGACTTAATCGACTGACTTAATCGACTGACTTAATCGACTGACTTAATCGACTGACTTAATTGACTGACTTGGCTGGCTGACTGACTGACTGACTTACTGAATGACTTACTGACTCACTTGACTGACTGACTTACTTGACTGACTTACTTGACTGACTTACTGACTTAAAGTTAGACTTTTTCACTGAAGAGGATCCTGCTAAGGTACTGAAGAGTCACCAGCTGCTCTGAAACAGTATCTAGAGCAGCTGGTATCTTACCGTTGGCTGTATAATGTACTGCAGGGTAAAATAGCCCAGAAATCCATTACAGAATTTATGCACACTCCAGTACAAGCATCGACTTCAGTACCAGAACCTCTACCATCCACTTCAGCCTCGTAGGGTCACAACATAGCTCTCCACTCTCTTCACAATCATTGACAAACACCAGCACCCACAATTTAAGGTAAGAAATACTGTTATTTCTGTTGCATTTGTAGTCAGGCAGTAAAAACAACATAATACATCATGACAATGAACAACAGTTATATATTCACTTTTATTTTTATAAATCTGGAGGTCCAAAAAAAAAAAGTTGTTTGGCTTTTTTGGGGTTCCCAGGAATGTAACCCTATTTTTCCCCTAAGTTCTTCAGTTTATCTAACATAGATTTATCTAACACTGCATTTTCAGGAACATAACTCATCTGAGTTTTCTTTAATTTTGTCTTAATAGTTCTTGTTCTTATTACTTTTCCTTTTATGTCCATGGGGAAGTAGAATAAGAATCTTTCCTCCGTAAACCATGCGTGTTGTAAAAGTCAACTAAAATGCCGGGAACAGTGGGCTAGTAACCCCTTTTCCTGTAATAATTACTAAAAAGAATAAGAAAAAGAAAATTGTCAAAGTGGGAAGTCTGAATGTGCATGGATGTTGTGTGAATGATAAGAAAGAGACGATTGTGGATGTTATGAATGAGAAGAAGTATCATGTGGGAGTTCGACACGTGGATTAGGTAAGAAAATACTCACGTAGGCTGGTAGTACGTATAATTACAGATAAGGTGGGTTGCGCCCTTACAGCCGTGACCTGCCTCCTTGCTCACTCTCGTAACACTGACTAACTGACTGGCCGCCCACGTACCCATAGAGGGTCTTTGAATAATGCCAGGTCAGCGCAATATGAGTTCAGATAGTGACTCAGGCAGAGACGGTTGGTCGTTGAGTCAACGGTACACTGGTTACTGGTAACTGGTTACTACTACTGAGAGCTCGGCGACGCTAACGTATGTCGTCCCGACATACAACTAATACAAACTAGAGATGGCAGGTATACGGCTTGGGCTGATTCTATACAATGTCAAAGTACACAACAATTAAACATTATAACATACATAAGTAGAACATTGGAATGGAAGCTTACGTAACTGAAACTGTAATGCAATACAAGGTATACTATAGTACAACTTAAAACTCAACAAATGAACAACGAACTCATACAAGTGATAAAAAAAATTTTGATCGATCGATCTGTATTCATGTGATCTACGGATTCTGAGGAAGGAATATATACAAAGAAGAGTGTTTAACAGAAAGGCAGATTCGGTGCACTCAAATCTAGACTGTTAACTCTCAAAAAGCGGAGAGAAAACATGAACACAAAAAAAAAATTCTTGAATAACTAAATAAGTTGATACGTAATTATTCATCTATACAGGTTATTTACATTTAACCCCAACTCTGCTAGGGTGAGATTGACATATGCAGAATGGGTGTCATCTCTGGGAGGATCAAACTCTGTAGCATTGGCTAACTCATGCTGTATTTGAGGAAAAATCTGAATTGGATTTTTACAAATGATACTTGAGGATTTCTCAATACCTGTCGTGTACGTAGGGAATTAACGACATTCAGGTTGATCGTCTGACTGAGTATCAGAGGAAGAGAGTACAGGATCAGGAGGATTGTCAGAGTCGTCACATTAGTCTGGGTTGGAACATCATTATCATCACATACTAACTTCATATGATCTAAATGCGATTCTTTATACTGACCAGTACTAATCTCTCAAAACCTTATACTTATTACCAGTGATATGTTCAACTACTCGATAAGGACCAATAAACTTTTGATCAAGCTTTGGCATTGCAGACGTTTTGTTAAAGTTAATCAGCATAACTCTCGAACCTACTTTGATTTTGGATGGCTTTGCTCGAGTGTTTGCGACTCTTGTAAATTCAGCTGTTGATTTATGAAGTGTTTCACGGATTCTTCTAAAAACACTTTGAGCTAAGCTGGTACGAGTTGCTATGAAATCATCAGGGTTGTAATTTGGTTTCGGATTAGAATATAACAACTCATAAGGCAAACGTTTATCTACACCATACAATAAAAATTGTAGCTACAGTTAGAGTAAGAGGTAGATGGGACAAGAGGAAAATGGCAACAACAAGTAAGAGGGAGGTGAAAGTGTATAAACTAAGGGAGGAGGAAGTTCGAGTGAGATATAATCAACTATTGGCAGAAAGGTGGGCTGGTGCAAGTATGGGTAGTGGGGGGCGTTGAAGAGGGTTGGAATAGCTTTAAAAATGCAGTATTAGAATGTGGGGCAGAAGTTTGTGGTTATAGGAGGGTAAAGGGTGAAGTAAAGGGTGTGATAAAACAGAAAAAGGTAGCTTATGAGAGGTTTTTACAAAGCAGAAGTGTTATAAAAAGAGTAGGTATAGGTAGTATAGGTGTAGGTTGGTAGACAGCAACCACCCAGGGAAGTACTACCGTCCTGCCAGATGACTGTGAAACAAAAACCTGTAACTGTTTTGCATGATGGTAGGATTGCTGGTTTCTTTTTCTGTCTAAATAAACACGCTAAGATAACAGGGATATCTTGCTCCCTCCTACTTACACTTTGGTCACACTTCAAAAGACACGCACAGCATATATATTATACATACATCTAGGTTTTTCTCCTTTTTCTAAATAGCTCTTGTTCTTTTTTATTTCTTCTATTGTCCATGGGGAAGTGGAAAAAAATCTTTCCTCCGAAGCCATGCGTGTCGTATGAGGCGACTCTAAAATGCCGGGAGCAATGGGCTAGTAACCCCTTCTCCTGTATACAATACTAAAAAAGAGAAGAAGAAAAACTTTATAAAACTGGGTTGCTTAAATGTGCGTGGATGTAGTGCGGATGACAAGAAAAGTGATTGCTGATGTTATGAATGAAAAGAAGTTGGATGTCCTGGCCCTAAGCGAAACAAAGCTGAAGGGGGTAGGAGAGTTTCAGTGGGGGGAATAAATGGGATTAAATCTGGAGTATCTGAGAGAGTTAAGAGCAAAGGAAGGGGTAGCAGTAATGTTAAATGATCAGTTATGGAAGGAGAAAAGAGAATATGAATGTGTAAATTCAAGAATTATGGGGGATTAAAGAAAAGGGTTGGATGCGAAAGAAGGGGGTCATAATAAGCGTGTATGCACCTGGAGAAGAGAGGAATGCAGAGGAGAGAGGAGAGATTTTGGGATGTTAAGTGAATGTATAGAGCCTTTAAACCCAAGTGAGAGAGTAATTGTGGTAGGGGACTTAAATTGCTAAAGTAGGAGAAACTTTTAGGAGGGTGTGGTAGGTTAAGTTTGGGGTGCCAGGTGTAAATGATAATGGAGCCCTTTGATTGAACTTTGTATAAAAAGGGGGTTTAGTTATAGGTAATACATATTTTAAGAAAAGAGGATAAATAAGTATACACGATATGATTGTAGGGGGAAATGACATTTAAGTTTGTTGGTTTTATGTATTGGTAGATAAAAGACTGTTGAGTAGACTTCAGGATGTACATGTTTATAGAGGGGCCCCACAGATATATCAGATCACTTTCTAGTTGTAGCTACACTGAGAGTAAAGGTAGATGGGATACAAGGAAAAAAGAAGCATCGGGGAAAGAGAGAGGTGAAGGTTTATAAACTAAAAGGAGGCAGTTAGGGTAAGATATAAACAGCTATTGGAGGATAGATGGGCTAATGAGAGCATAGGCAATGGGGTCGAAAGAGGTAGGGGGTAGGTTTAAAAATGTAGTGTTAGAGTGTTCAGCAGAAGTTTGTGGTTACAGGAAAGTGGGTGCAGGAGGGAAGAGGAGCGATTGGGGGAAAATGATGATGTAAAGAGAGTAGTAAGGGAGAAAAAGTTAGCATTGAGAAGTTTTTTACAAAGTAGAAGTGTTTGAAGGAGGGAAAGGTATATGGGGGAAAAAGAGAGAAGTTAGAGAGTGGTGAAGCAATGTAAAAAGAGAGCAAATGAGAGAGTGGGTGAGATGTTATCAACAAATTTTGTTGAAAATAAGAAAAAGTTTTGGAGTGAGTTTAACAAGTTAAGAAAGCCTAGAAAACAAATGGATTTGTCAGTTAAAAAATAGGAGAGGAGCGTTTTTTAAATGGAGAGTTAGAGGTTTTGGGAAGATGGAAGGAATATTTTGAGGAATTGTTAAATGTGATAAAGATAGGGAAGCTGTGATTTCGTGTATAGGGCAAGGGGAATAACACTTGTAGGAGTGAGAAGAGCCAGTTGTGAGTGTGGGGGAAGTTCGTGAGGCAGTAGGTAAAATGAAAGGGGGTAAGGCACCCGGGATTGATGGGATAAAGATAGAAATGTTTAAAAGCAGGTGGGGATATAGTTTTGGAGTGGTTGGTGCAATTATTTAATAAATGTATGGAAGAGGGTAAGGTACCTAGGGTTTGGGCAGAGAGCATGCATAGTTCCTTTGTATAAAGGCAAAGGGATAAAAGAAGTGAAAAAATTATAGGGGGATAAGTCTGTTGAGTGTACCTGGGTAAAAGTGTATGGTAGATTTAAATAATTGAAAGAATTTAAGAGTAAGACGGAAAAGGATAGCAGATGAACAAGGAGGCTTTAGGAAGGTAGGGGGTGTGTGGACCAGGTGTTTACATTTGAAACATATAAGTGAACAGTATTTAGATAAGGCTAAAGAGGTCTTGTGGCATTTATGGATTTGGAAAAGGCGTATGACAGGGTGGATAGGGGGCAATGTGGCAGATGTTGCAAGTGTATGGTGTAGGAGGTAGGTTACTTGAAAGCAGTGAAGAGTTTTTACGAGGATAGTGAGGCTCAAGTTAGAGTATGTAGGAAAGAGGGAAATTTTTTCCCAGTAAAAGTAGGCCTTAGACAAGGATGTGTGATGTCACCGTGGTTGTTTAATATATTTATAGAGGGGTTGTAAGAGAAGTAAATGCGAGGGTCTTGGCAAGAGGCGGGAGTTAAAAGATAAAGAATCACCACAAAGTGGGGTTGTCACAGCTGCTCTTTGCTGATGACACTGTGCTCTTGGGAGATTCTGAAGAGAATTCAGAGATTGGTGGATGAATTTGGTAGGGTGTGCAAAAGAAGAAAATTAAAGGTGAATACAGGAAAGAGTAAGGTTATGAGGATAACAAAAAGATTAGGTGATGAAAGATTGAATATCAGA